CTTCTACTAGTCTTTCATTAAGATTTTTCAAAGCTTGTTTATCCTCCTCTGATTGCTCTACCAACTTCATATTTTTTACCTTTTCTTCAGCAAGTCTTCTAACAAAATCAAGCAATGTGGTTTTGTTGTTATTGAGTTCTTCTACCAAGCTCTCTATTTTGTTGGCATGCTTTTCATTGCATCAATCCTCACAAACTCCCACAGCATCTAAATGGCAACTAGCACTTACTTTTTCAAATTCAAGTTCTTTTTCTAATTTTTGATTGGTTTTTTCTAGAATAGTATTCTTTTCTTTTAGTTCTTTATTTTCTTGGTAGGTAAAACTAAAAGTTTCTTCATAATTTTGGGCTTCCTTACCAAAACTTTTAACAATATTTTCAGGAGTGAATCCATTGCTGAAAACAACTCTTCCAATTTCAAGTCCATTCTTTTCAGGATAACTTATTCAACCATTGTTAGGTCAAGTGGTTCTTTCTAAAGTTCTTAAAGTTACACCAGTATATTCTGAACTCTCAGTAAGACTATGAACTGCATTTCAAATTCTTAGTTTAAAGTTCTCTTCTTTATCAGCTAGTTGTTTTTTTAATGTTTTGATTTCTTCTAACGAGTTTTTATTTTTTCTTGTTGTTCTTTTAGGATGTTTGTCATGATTTTCTTGATTGTTCCTTTTTTATTTATTCTTTTAATATACTTATATCCTTAGGGGTATGTTAAGTATATAATTATTTTAGCACTTTTTTACTTTAAATGTGGAAAAAAGCTAACAATATTTGTCAAAAGATTAAACTTATTAAACTTAATGACAGTAAGAAGTCATAGAGTTGATTTTATTCAAAATATTCTATTCATTGCCAGTATAGATTGGTCTCGGGCAAGTAATATCTTTGTATTCATCTTTCACAAATGGACAAATATTCTGGTAAAGATATTCTTGTCTTTTGTAATCCAAAGGAGGTGGTGTTAACACTAAAATAAATAAAGTTCTAATTTCTTCCAAAATATCTGTTTTCTTGGTTTTCAATAAATTGAATTCAGTAGAAAGTCCATTAGCAACTTCTTGAACTTTTATTGTACAAAGATTAGATGCTTCAAAAAGAAAATGTTGATATTTCTGGATGCTTGGTAATTTCTTAAAATATATTCCCAAAATTGCTTTAATATCTAAGTATTGAAAACTTCTTCCACCTTCATAACATTGAGCTTAATTCAATCCTACTAGACTAGACTTTTTTATTACCTCAACCACATGATCAAGACAATCTATTCTTGTTCTTCTGTAGAGTTTTTTAATCATGCCAAAATTACCATCATGCTTGAATTTGGTATACCCAGGAACCATGAAATTCAATTCAATACTTTCATAATAACCACAAATTACCAAATATAAATAAAACCAAACAGTTACATTATTTTTATTTTGTCCACCAGCATTATCACAAGTAATCTTTAAATGCTTTTCACCTTTGTTTGACTTCTTAATTCCATCAAAAATCATGCTAAGAGTGTCATCAGGACCCTTTCCTATAATTTTGCATTCATCAAGAACATAATTAATTTGTTCACTTACTGCTTCATCCTGAATACTAAATAAATGAACTTTATGTGGACTAAGAAAATAAATTTTACTTACCTGTTGATCAGAATGGGGTACATGAGCATTTTTGGCTCAATCATAACTATAATGAGCAGTAGCATCAACACTGCAATATTGTATTTTACCTTATGAATAATTTTGACTAACTAATTTTCTTTGTTCTTCTGCTAATTTGGTATTTTTATAATAATAATTTCTTTCTAATTTTGTCTTAGATAGATGCTCTTTAAATCTTTTAAGTAATTCTTTGGCTTCTTCCTCCTAATCAGCATTATAATGTAAACCATCTCTAAAGTGTTGACAAGTATCACATAGATCAGTCTTGGGACTCACAATTTGGATTTCTGGTGTCAATTGATGTCATATTTTAAGGATTTCAATTTGCTGTTTTCTTCCAGACCAGCCAGAAAATCTCTGTGCACAGATTTATAACTCATTTCAGCTGGTAAAAATATAACTGATTGAGTTATTATATTTGTACTTCTTCTTGGACTTGGTAATCCATGAACTTTTGCATAATTTTCTAGAAAATTCTTTACTACTTCTGCAACATTTTTATCAATCACCATTTTAGTTTT